TTTTTTTTTTTTTTATTATACAGACCCTTTCCAACAAATTACAATATCATGGAAAAATTAATTAACTTCCATAATTCCATTCAGAAAGTTAATCTTTGATAGAAGATAGATTCAGGGCCCACAATTTAAACAATTTCAAGTATTTATTTATTTTTACATAATTTGGACTTCCAGCTCATGAAATCCACGAAAACAGGATTTCAAAAAATTAGAATACTGTGAAGAAATCAGTCCACACTACTTCTCAGTTTTTGCTGAAAAAAAAAGAAAGAAATTAGTATCACAACAAATCAATCAAAATATGGTACTTTCAAAATGTCAATCTTCAATACTTGATTGAGAATCCCTTTGCCTTAATCACTGCCTCGATGCATTGAGGCAATGAGTCTGGGGCATTGCCTGGGAGGCATGGACCAGGTCCTGCTGGAACATGAAATCTGTATCTCCATACAGATCCTCAGCAGAAGGAATCATGAAGTCCACTAAAACATTCTGGTAGACTGTTGTGGTGACCTTGGATTTAAGAAAGCAGAGTTTACCAACACCTGCACCAGACATTGCACCCAAATCATGACTGACTGTGGATGTTTCACACTGGACCTCAAGCAGTATGGGTTCTGTTCCTCAGCGTCTTCCTCCAAACCCTTGGACATTGATTTGCAAACACACTTTATTTTCATCGGAAAAGAAGACCTTGGACCACTGCTTGGACACAGCACTCTGTGAACAGCCAGCTGTATTAGCTGTGAACTTTTGTGGCTTACCCATCCTATGTATGGTATCAATGATGGTCTTCTGACCAGTTGTTGTGTCTGCAGTTTTCCCCATATTGAACCAAACTGAGACAATTGAACCAAACTGAAGCAATTTAATGACACCTGGGGAAACCTGTGCAGATGCTTTGAGTTTAGTAGATGATTAATGTGTCACATTCAGTTTAAAACATTCATGCCCTGCAACATTTGGGCTGATTTCTTCACAATATTCTAATTTTTTTAAATACTTTTTTCATGGGTTTCATGAGCTGGAAGCCCAAATTAAGTAAAAATAAACAAATAAATACTTGAAATTGTTTAAATTGTGGGCCCTGAATCTATCATCTATTAAAGATTAACTTTTTGAATGGAATTATGGAAGTTAAACAAGTTTTCCATGATATTCTAATATTTTGGAAAGGGTCTGTATAATATATAAATAATATATATAATTATAAAATAATGTATATTGTATGTTTATTTTGTGTTTAAAAAATAAAAGTTGGAGAAAAAAATAGAAGGCACTCAGGCGCCATCCAAATATGTGTATTTATGTGTATTAAAACCTTATGATTAATCTAGCATTTCATGTCATGGGTTTAGCAACTCTGATTTTAGAAGAGTATAATGTAAAATAATATTCTGTTGTAGTTTACACTGTATAGATGTTAGTAAAATTAAAAATACTCAGTGTTACATAGTGTTTTCTCTTTCAGCTTCAGGAAAGCATCCACCAGTTACACTGTATTTCTGCTGCGCAGCTTACTGGAAGTTCTGGGTCACAGTTGGACAAACACTCCACCAAACTGCTCGAGGTCATCAGGAGCGTGAAAGAGCAGAGCACCAGGATCTTACAAGTTTTAGATGAGGTGAGAAGACTCAGTGGGATTTATAGCTGAATTGTTGTTTTGTGTAGATGTGAGTTAGATTTTAATTAAAAGTAATTGTTCTTACTCAGAGTGACATCACCATCATGAGAGAAGCTTAAAGCTCTGATCATCTACCTGAACCTGTGGAGCATCTTTTGAAAGAACACCAGGTCAGAAGATACGGTGCACTAACACGAGCAACATCCACAGACCTTTTGTGTTTGAAATGCAACATTGCACTGGATATTTTTTCTTCTTGCTATAGATTCTTCTGATTTTTGTCTACTGAATTTGGGCTCAAACTGAATTAACATCATGCCAGAGTGGGAGAAACAAATACATGTTTTGACGACTCTTTGATCTTTATTGTAGCACCGACACTCATTTTAACTGAGGACTCTTGTTGTAGTAATCCAGCTGTTAAAGTGTCCAGTTTCAGAAAGTAAAGAGACCGTACTTGTCCTCAGTTCTTTATTTTTGGTGTGTTTACAGGATGTGCAGGAGAACGACCAGCTGCATCTGGAAACCAGGGCGATCTTTGTCACTGGGAGAGAGGATCCTTTCCATCCACCCAAATACATCAAGATAATCATCGATGGAACACAGGTCCTGAATGAAGTGTCTTCTGTTGTAACATCTGTTGTCATGTTCTTCAGGCTCATAGACTCAACCGAAAATATCCAAAAATTAACAGTACTCTGCTGGAGCTTAGTGGGAAAAAGATGTCCCCAAAGGTTTATAGGCTGTGTACCAGCTTTGCAGAGGTTGAATTTAACTTAATCGATTTGATTTTTCCATTGGTTCTTCTACACCCAAGACAGTTATTTACCTTGATGAGGTTTGAGCTCAGAGATTCCAGGTGCACAACAGTCTAACTTTAGAGTTTGCTACTTTTTTGGAAAACTGGAGAGCAGTTGGATTTGTACTGCAGTGTTTGTTTTTCAAGCCAAGGGGCTGGACCTTCTCCATCCATATGTTGGAAAGTTATGGAACCGTCTAAAACAGGTCTCTCTTGTAAATGAGTCTCGAAGGCTCAATGTGATTAATCTGTATAAATAAAAGTTGAATGAATGAAAATTGACCATAATTCCTATAGAAATAATGCGAACTGTATTATTTAGTAACATATTTTCCCTTGACCATTTTGAAAAGGAGACATTAGCTGATTTTGTTTGAGGAAGAATATCTAATTGTCCTTTCACTCCATTTACAGATATATGTTGCAAAGTTGAGGGTTATTTATAATTTCATGGAGTAAGTTATTTGAGTTTCAGAGTATTTAGTTTGATTCTCTTCAGCAGGTTTGACAAGGACAAAATGTACCCATTCCAAAGACTGTTAGCTAAACTGCAGACATATTTTGTTTTCATCTTGTTATTTTTAGTACCACTTGATCATGTGTCAAACTCAAGGCCCGTGAGCCAAATCCAGCCCACCAGAACCATTTCTGTGGCTCTCTACACCCTAAAGAGCCAGAGACAAAACTTCAGGATAACAGTTGTGTGCTTCAATATTACTTTGTCATTCAAATCAGTTTTTATGTTTATAATGCCAAATTAATCTAATATAAAATTTTTAGTAGTCATCAAATGCAGACAGTTATATTTTACCAGTTTGTTAATAGGTTGTTTAATCAATACTATATTATAGAACAGCTTATGTTAGGTGGGTGAATGATCTGACTGTTGTTTGCAATAATCCACATTATTAGCAGAAATCGTGCACCACAAAACAATTTTTGCTTAGGACCCCATGGAGGCTTGGGCCGGCCCTGGTTATAAATATAACAATCATGCAAAATGCTGCTGAAGTTGGGACGAGTGATTTTTAATATTGTTGTCCTGAATCTGTATAAATCTGACCAAACTGGTGCTGCCATCAGGAGACAGGTTGAAAAAACAGACATTTTCTACCCAGTAATCAATTTGACACAAAATGTTTGGTTTGTACATTTTTTTTTGTAAAAACGTATTTTATAACGTGAACATTTTTGATCTATAAAATCTCTGTGCTTGAATTAACTGTGTTAATGATTCCTGATGTGGTAAAAACTTAACTTTGTTGGATTTTTTACCTGGATTATCGAGCATGAATCAGTTTCCAGATTATAGTTTTATCTTCATTATGAGTTTGTCTCCATTTGATTAAAAAAAAAATGCAGATTCGACAAAAAAAGTCAATGTTCTCAATCATTTCCAACCCTTTAAAGATGATGTGTGTTTCTATCCAGAACATCTGAAGCAACTTGTTTAACATTAACAGAGTCAAAAACATCTGGCTTCTGCCTCCCACATGTTTAGACAAAAGCCTTCATCCACAGCTCTGCAGCTCTTCAGGATGGTCCTGTCTGCACACATCACTGGTGCTGTTTGGTAATCCTCTTGGCGTGTTCCAGCACCGAGCTGTGTCTCAGGGTTCTGCTGGTCCACGATGCTGGGATTCCCTCCAGCCCAATCTAGAATCACAAACAGAACATTTCATCAACCATTAGAGTGCTGGGATCTTAGAGAATATGAGGAATTAACAGACCTGCGCTCCAAGGCACGCTCCGATGAAGGACGCCCTGCTGCAGGTGCACCCCCCACAGCTCATGGTGTCTCTGATGGCCGTCTCAAAATGCTTGGCTGTCAGGACTCCATGCAGCGCTGCCTGGAACGCACCTGGTAAACCTAGACCAACACCAGCATCGTCTTAAAGTCTGACACTGTTTCCTCAGTAAACTTCTGCTTCATTGACTTCACTTTAAGGAGCTTGGTTAAAATACCTCATGTGTTTGGAAACACAGTGGGGATTATTTCCTGAGGAGTCTTGGATAAATTCTCCTTCACCTGATGAATGTGCCCTGAAATCAGGCACAAATACAGTGAGTCCAATATACAGACGGGCCAAAAAGATCAAAGACAAAAGCTAAAATCTTCTATAAAAGTAGCAGCACAGCAAGTCAATGTGAGTTTATCGAACACCATAAAACTTTCTTCTGCTGCAGATCTCACATACCGATGACTGCTCTGTCCAGATCCTGAGGCTGCTTCCTGTTGCAGTCACTGAGCTGAGTCAGAACCACCTCCAAAACCTTTGGGTCTGGTCCGTTCAGAATGAAATGTTCCAGAAACCTGGGAGAATAAGAATATATCCTGGCCTTTAGATTTAATCTCATCATCTGTGTTCAGATTTTTCCTCTTCTACAGGCTGAACTTTCTTTGTTCTTAATGTTCTGGAATGAGTGTGTCTGGAGCTGGTCATCTTGTTGAGCCATGAACGCTCCAGATCTTCTGCGTGTTTTGTTTCACACTGTAATGAAGCCAGTGCTCGACGGTACATGATGCAACCTTATATTTCCAACATTACGTGAGCCATTTTCATTGAACTTTAAGTGCTATTTCCAAGCAACATTGTGTGGAAGTAGAACTTAGTTGGGAGAGATGTTGCCTAAGTTAGCCTAAGGGCGACCTGCTTGCTGAAATAACATTGTACCTGACAGATCCACTGACCGTGCTGCAGCCAGAGTTTCTGCCACACATTCGTCGTTGTTTTGGGTGACTCGAACAGCCTGTTCAACCTTTTCCAGCATGTCGGGCTGTCCTGCGTAAAAAGCCACTATAGGAGCTAGTTTGGTGATCCCATCAATCTGACAGTCGGTCTTGCAGCCTGCAGCGAAGACAGCATGTTGCTTAGAGTTGTTTTTAGCCATGCATACAGCTATAAATTAAAAAATCAGCTTTACCGGTCTCCTCCTTTCCAGCATCAACATTCTTTAGGAAACTTTTCAAACTTGCTTGTCTCCATGGTCCGTCAATAGGGAGCTGAGGTCTTGGCCCTGGTAAATTAAGAGAGTCATCATTGTTGCCTCAGTAAGAAGGAAGAGTGACACTTCATAGAAACTGGACAATTCTCTTACCTCCTCTGTCTCTGTAAGGATCATTGACGGGTGTGTCGTATTCTGATCCTGGTCCAAAGTACTTCAGTGTACGCTGCTTCAGATCGTCAACATTTAGACCTGATGAGAAACAAAACAGTAGACCTGTACGATCGTAAATGCAAACTGAACTGAACAGAGACACTTAGGTGCTTGTCTCAAGTTGGTAATCATCATCATCAAAGACAAAACTAAATCTGAGACTAATTGACTGATTCTCGTGATTTTGTGCTTCTTAACATTCTGGGGAGTTGTAAAAGTTCAGTATGATCATAAGGAAGTTTATGCACTAATAACACCAGGTACCTCCACATTGTGACAGGGACTCCAGCAGGACATAAGCCTGGTCTCCGTAGCAGCTCTGCTGGCCCGTCTGCCTCTTGTAGAACGGGTTGGCAGATTCAGCGCAAAATTCAGAGTTAGGATCCTGAGCCAAAATCCCCTTCAGCTTCTGAAGATCGTATATCCAGTGAAGAGGTTGTGCTAAAGGTGAAACATACTCATAATGACATTTGGATCTGAAACCTACGAGTAACACAATCCAGTAATTTATGTGCACAGTTTACAGAAGTTAGAAAAGAAACTCCTGGTACCTGCAGCATCTGCAACAGCTGAGCCTACAATGGCTCCTAAGGCTCTGTTGGCCACAGATGAAGCCATCTGCTGAGACATGGAAGGATGGAAGATGATTTTTCTGCTCATCTCGACTTGAATTTTGTAATCTAATCATACTGGGGTGGCTGGGACATTGTTCAGATTATTTAGACTTTTTAACAGTAAACTTTGATTCAGTTAATCTGAATATTCATCATTTTAATGCACTTCAAACTAAGTCTTGTCTGTTGCACAACTCAGCAGCGCGTGATAAGCAGCTCTGACAGTCACGTGACATGTCTGTCAATTACCTTTTCTACAAAATGATTTAAATTATTCTTCCATCTGCCACTTTATTAAGATAGTTTAAGTCCTGCTTGAAAACTGATAAGTCATATTTGCTCAGTGCGAGATATATTTGAAAGAAAAGCCCCGTACGTTTTAGCTTTAGCGGTTAGCTGCTAACAGCTAGTAGCTAAAAGGAAGCTAACGAAGTAAGTTAACGGACATAAATTCAGGCTGATGTTTAAAACACTGACCTTTGCCTTCGTTTAACTTGGTGCAGTATTACTGCAGTTTGTATCACCTCTTCAGGGTGAATAATGTATACTTACGCAAACAACTCACTCTGTCGTACTCTTGTTATGACAGTTAGCCTATTAGCCCCGCCCATCGAAAGGAGATCAAACAGTATGTGATAATATTTACAGTTACTAATGCGCATGCGCAAAGTGGGTGGGCTCTGGATGTATTCATGCGGACAAATAATTCGTCTTACAGAGAAATACATTATATTATGCTTCGACAATAAGGATATGGATAAAGACTTGATCTGCTTCACCCAACTTCTACTTCTCCTGGGAAAATTTCACATTCACAAGAAAAAGTGGTCAAACACCAAGTCAAGCATGACCCACTTCAACAAGGAACTTTACAGCACCGCTATTACAAAAAGGCAATGAAAACCATCTCAGTTCTAGAAACACTTAATGTGAATTTATCTATATAAGCTGTAAATAGATTGTTTTGTATCTTTTTAGACTTTTTTTTTACTTTTTGTACCATTTTATAATTATATTGTTCTTTTGTATATTTGTATACTATTACTTTTGTACCTGTTGATATACCCCTGGCAGAAACTTGTTTGTAAAGTTGATAAAGTTTTGTAAAAAATAAAAATAAAAAGTATTCGTGCGGACTTCCGGTTCGTGACTGCGTTCACGTCTCATTCCTATCTTTCATAAATCTGAGCTGATGCAACAAAGAGCTGACCAAAAGTACAGCAAACATAAATAAATAAAATAATAATGATTTAGATTTTCAAAATATTTGAGCCAATTAGATGTTTACTTCTTCTATGTTCACGTCTCAGTGGTATGTTGTTATATCAGGCCACCAGGGGGAGTTGAGAGGTTCTGTTATATACACAACACACAAACACTTAGAATAATGTTTGCATCAGTTTTAGTTGTTTACACGCACATTTCTGCTGTGACAGGCTAAAATACCGGAAGTTCTCAGTGCCAATAAATTGGGAAGCATGACTGGAAGGAAAAAGGCACCAAGTTTTTACCTTTCCAGATGGACTATGCCTGGGACCACCTCATCAGGGTCTACAACTGATTACCATTCCTTAGATCAGAACGCTTTCTTGTTTAGAACACTTTTAGCAATTCCTAAATCAAATATTTTTAGTACTTATATATCAATGTTATGAATATTTCCATAATGTCATGCATCTCATTAGGGGGGTGCCGGAGTCACTGGCAAAATGCCTGAAGCAAAGACAGGCATTTGACCTGAGCTGGGCAGGTCAAAGTCTAACGCTGGAAGGCACCCTCCGCGCACACATAGGAATAGTTTACATTCAAGCACATAGAGGAAACTGATTAATTGCTTGCAGTTCCAGTGGTCTTGAACTGGAAGTTTTTTGAGGAAACTCTCTGGGTCCCTCAAAACCAGGGGGGAGTTGATAGAAATATTTTATCTAGACTGACCCTGGGTTTTGATCTAATCAGAGATGGATTGTAATAAGATGATGACCGGTTAAAACAGAGCCAGCAACTCTAAAAAAGAGAGTCTCCCAGGGATTCAGTATCCATCAAGGAATAGATTTTTATTTATTTGTCAATAAATAAATATATGTCAATAATAATTTTTGCAGGAATTGCACCTTTTCCAGTTTATCCCTGGTCTAGCCAAGGAGCAAAACTCTCAGACTTAAAAGGACATTTTGAAACGAACCACTCAAATGAAATGGGATCACTGAGGAATCCAATGTTTTTGTATCACACTGTGTTCATTTTCCATTTCTTCATACAATTTGTCCAGGTTTTCATCCAACGGTTCTATGTAATATTTGTTTAAAACTCCAGTTATTTAATGTTTCTTCTCATGAAGTCACATATTTCATTTGGGTCTTCTAGGTTCCTATGTGGTTTGCAATGTATTATAGTCATTTTTCCATCATGTTTTGTATCATGAGTGATTTCTGAAACTTTTGTTTATTTTTTTGCATCTGCTTTTGTTAATTTTGTCAAACTTCATATGTTCAAAGCTGTTCTTCAAGTGTTTTTCTAGCACATTATAACACTTTTATTTATTTTCAATCTCTCATTTACAATTCAGTTCAGTTTATTTATTTACATAGCATCAAGTCACAACAGAAGTCATTTTAAAATCTGGTCAATGATCTGAAATTTTTTAAATACACAGTGGTGGCTGGACATGGGCACCAGTGGCACCGATGACCCCCACGACCCGAAAAGGAAGAAGCAGGTAAAGATGATGGATGGATACATTACACATTCTGTCAACAGTGAACTAATGAAAACAAGTTTGTACCACCTGAAAGTACTAACCTGTACAAAGAAACTGGATGTTCTGCAGACCATCTACTGGTCAGGAGACGTCACTGCAGCAGTTCACTAGAATGAACATGTTCACTTAATAAATGAACATTTAATAAGAAATCATTCAAATGAGTCCAAGATTAAATTACAATGTTTATTTTTAATGAATGCTTATATAGCTCTATTTTAAACTAGTATTTGTTTACCCTTTATTTCTGTAAAACAAAAGACAGCTAACCAGAGCTTATTTTGAAAAGGAAAACAAATAAAAAGTTTAACGAGAGTGGTGAAGGCTGCACAGAAGTCTGTTGGAGTCAGACTCCCCACCATCACAGACATCTACACCTCCAGATGCAGGAAGAGGGCCACCTGCACCATGAAGGACCCCACTCACCCAGCACACACACTTTTTGCCCCGCTCCCCTCAGGAAGGAGGTTAAGGAGCATTAAGTGTAGAACCACTAGACTGAGGAACAGCTTCTACCCTGAGGCTGTTCGACTCATGAATTAACCAAGATAATCACTGTGAAAAATCACATCATGTTGCTGCTGATCTGTTTCATGTTGCTGCTGATCTGTTTCATGTTGCTGATCTGTTTCATGTTGCTGCTGATCTGTTTCATGTTGCTGCTGATCTGTTTCATGTTGCTGCTGATCTGTTTCATGTTGCTGCTGATCTGTTTCATGCTGCTGTTCGTCCTCATCTGCTCACACAGACTCATGTTCGTGCTGCTGTTGTTCGGCGTATTGTTTTTGTACTACTAGGGCTTAGTGTATTTTAGAGTTTAGTTTAACATTGTTCTTAGTTCATATCTTAGATCTTATTACTGTTTTTTGTTTACAATTTATAATTTTATTGGCTGTAACTGGGATCCTGTGTACACAGTTTTGTTCCACCAAATGTGGCACATGTGGTGCGCATGACAAATAAAGAAACTCTGACTTTGGACTTGACTCATCAGGATAATCACTGTAACGCCACTTTAATTGGTGATATGTGCTGCTGATTATTCATGCTGCTGGTCTCATGTTGCTGATTTTTTCATGCTGCTGTGTTCATTTGTCCTCATCTGCTCACACAGACTCATGTTGGTGCTGCTGTTCGGCGTATTGTTTTTGCACTATTAGTGTTTAGCGTATTTCTTAGTTTATATCTTAGATCCTTATTTACTGTTTATTTTTACCATTTATATTTTGCTATTGTTGGATGTAACTGGGACCCTGTGTACACAATTTCATTCCACCTCATGTACCACTTGTGATGCGAATGACAATAAAACTTACTTGAACTTGAACATGCAAATAGTTGAGCCAGCGACCTTCCAATCACAGGCTGTGCCACCACTTTGCAGAAATAGAAGTAAACATCTAATTGGCTCAAATATTTTGAAAATCTAAATCATTATTATTTTATTTATTTATGTTCGCTGCACTTTTGGTCAGCTCTTTGTTGCATCAGCTCAGATTTATGAAAGATGGGAATTTTCTGCTGTAACTGATTTGGTGTGACGATTGACAGCTGACCATCAGGCATGAAACCTTTTTTATAATAAGTTGAGTTTCAAATTTCTACAGTGAGCTGTGGTGTCTGGAAACATTAAAAGTCTCAGAACATTCAGTTCAGCCACAAATGTTCCCCCTTTAGGCCTATTAACGTAATCAGAACAGAAAACGGTTATGAAAGCTGTCACCACATCAGGTGTAAACGAGAGAGCCTTCAGGCTGACTCACTCAGTTTAATTAGATGTTTACTGAAACACGGAGCTGCAGTTCAGCTTGGTTGTCCATCGTTACTAAACATGTTGGAGACATTTCATCGGCCTGCCCGTCACCACAGAGCACCTTTCAGACCTGTCACAAACACCAAACCTTGCTTCTTCACTGTAAATTCTCATGTCTCATGCTGCAAATGTGTGTAATATGATGCCACATGTGTATTTTTAGCTGATATCTTCCCTTTCAGTTTGTAAATGCATTCCACGTGTGTTCAGCTGAAGCGTTCTCGTGCAGGACGGATGTGTCCTGCAGGGAGTCTGTAAAACTCCATGTTTCACTGTCTTCTTGAGTCAGGGCTAAGTGAAACCTTTGCCTCAGCAGGTGCACCTCCCTCTGCTCCTGCCTCTCCCCACGTCCCTGACTGACCCAGCTCCACATTCTAGCACGACACAGATGCCAGCAGCAGCAAATTAGACACCAGCAGCAGCCCCTCCTGATATGTCCTTCTCTGTCCCACATCCCTTATTTTTAGCTGGGATCCAAGTGTCCATCTTCTCTTAATATGGGAGACGAGTGCCTCATATTTTGCAGCCACCTCGATCATATTCTGACTTTGGCAAAACCTCAAACTTTGCCTCCATCTCCATCGGTTTTTGTGTGTTCTGTGGCCGGTCCGAGACAAAAAACAGAGTTGTTTCCCCCCTCTCGTGGTCCCACTCCTCCTACTTTTACAGGTCTGCTGCACACACACATGTGTGCGCGCACATACACACAAAGTTGTTGTCCCAGCAGCCAGTTGGACCCTCCTCATCTTCCCTGCTCAGTTACACCCCACATGGGCGGACACTCTCACCTATGTCAAACTTAGCCCAGCCCCTCTTGGAGCCTGTGTCCCACTGCCAGTTTCCCATGTGGGGTTTGTCATAAGGTGGATCCAGGAGTTGGTCTTGCTCTCTTCTGGGTGACGCGGATTGGAAAGGGTTCTGCAAGCAATCTTTTAACCCCATTTTGTATAAAACACCTGTAAGTAAGTCTAAATTGCTTCAGAGGAGCCATGAAGTGGAGGTGGGTGCTTGTGGCAGTCTTGCTGTCATTCGGGGGGCTGTCACTGGGCAAGGAGAGCTTGGACTTCCCTGAATATGATGGCAAGGACCGCGTCCACGACCTCAACGCCAAGAACTTTAAGTCTGTGATGAGGAAATATGATGTTTTGGTGGTGTACTACCATGACCACCCCGGATCCAGCCGCGTCGCCCAGAGACAGTTTGAGACTGAGGAGTTGGCTCTTGAGGTGGGTTGAGCTGAGAACTTTCAACAGACAGAGGAGGATAAGAATGCACACAGACACACTGAACATATAAAACTGTAACGTTAAGACTCTGAGTGGATGCTTTGATAGGATGTGAGTTTAAAGCTCAGTTCATTTTGGGTCTGTGTGCCCCAGATCAATCAAATGTCAGATAGACAGGTGGCAGCTGAAGCATCTTAATGTCAATGCATGTGTTATTTGCAAAAACAGATTAATTATCTACTAACTATAGTGGATTTGAAAATGCTGAGATGTGCAGATCACTAATTAGAAAAGCCACAAGTTCCCTGCACCTGAAGGCCGAGTGCTTTGCACAACGCCTGTGCATGACAATCACACCTTATAGGACCTTGGTGAGCCTGGGCACGGAGGGGCATCTGCACCTTCCTCGCAGAAAGACATTACATCACCATTCATCATGAATCTTCAGCGTCAGCTCTCAAGGCGTTAAACACGAGCATACCAGGGCTCCTTCTCAGCTTGCATCAGAACTTACTGTAGCTCAAATGTCACATTTACCAAGAACGGCTCTGCTTGCTCTCAGATGAGAAGATTCATGATTTATGGGATGCACCGAACCATGCGACGTATTTCATGAGACTGGACATGCTTGTCGTACTGTGTTATGGCTGGCAAACTTGTTGGAGTACTTTTAAAAGCATGCAAGGAGGCTGGATCTAAGTAAAAGAGGAGATGAAGATACAAGTAACAGAAAATAAAAGGAGGAGTAAACATTAATAGCCAAAACAGCAGAAGAGAGTCGGAGCTCTTGGTCTATCGCATCATCTCATCAGGCTCTGGTGTCTCTGTAAAGGCCAGAAGAGTCTAAGAAGGCCAGCTCTGGAGGTCCTGGCCCCAGTAGTGCCACCTCAGCTCTGTGCTGTGATTGACACTTGCAGTACTGTACTTGTCAGCGGATCCTTGAACGCTGAGCATCACGGCCTCCTGGCCAAAATAGTCCCGGGCCTGCTGTGGCTCCTGGCGCTATATATATCCTGAGCCGCTTTTGTGGAGGGTCGAGTTCTCCGAAAGGCTCTTGTTTCTTCTTAAGAATGTATTCTGATTTTCATTTAATGAGCTTTAGTTATTAGTAGGAGGCAATGGCACAAGGTGCAACATTTCAGAGGTTAAGGTTCTCCATGTAGGTTGGTAAAGTTAAATAACACGAGGCGATGATAGCGTTTTAAGTGCTTTCTTCTTTTGGTCATTTAAAATTGAGTCGGATTTTAAATGGTCTATTTTTGTCTTTATGCGTTTAAGATCTAAAAGTAGAAGTGCATATATGTCTTACATGACACATATATATGACCTGAATGAGAAAACATAATTTGGGTCACGTTAATAATAAAATTAATCCTTCACGTTATTTAAAACTTACTGTATTTCATAAATTATACTCTCAATTTCCATAAAGATACACTAAACAGCAGCTGTTAATGCTCTTTAATTTGATAGTATTGTGCAAAACATAATGTCTTTATAAAACAGTCATTTTAATAAAATCTATGTAATAAACACCTCTGCAAAATGTATTTACATGATCACTCCCAGTTTGCAAGCTGTTTTTGGCACCCTGTCCATCTGCACCTCCAGTTAACTCAAAGTAATGCAGAGAATCGTTTAATCTGTAAGAAATTACTGGACTGCCTTGTTAGTCTGACTTTATGCTGTAAAAGCTGCTGCTCGAGGTCTTGACACCAGTTTCCTCGCAGCTCTCTCTCTCTGTGTGTGTGCGTGTGTGTGTGCTTTTGACCCTTCAAATGCACCAAGAAAGCCCTGAAGCTCTTCCTCAGAGCGCTGCGGCTGCGAGCCTTCTGATTGGTGGAATCAGCTGTCAGTCATGAGGGTCAGGTTTCATACAGATTTAGAAAGTGCATAAACAGCTCTCTGAAAAGCAGGCTTTTATGGTAAGGAAACGCATGTCAAAAGGTGCACTTGGTGATTTAACAGTTGTTCAAAAGCTACAAAGATGCCCCCACCCCCACCACATGCTTCACCTTGTGTTTATTTGTTCTGATAAATTCACGTCTCTTTCTCTGTGACTTTGTTTGTTTTGCAGCGTGTAGCCCAGGTCCTGGACGAATTTGACGATGAGGACATTGGAGTCGGTCTCCTCGATGCAAAGCTAGACAAGGCGGTTGCAAAGAAATTGGGTAAGAGCGTGCAGAAAATCCCACACACTATCAGTGTTTCACCCTCCATAACCTTTTAATCTGAGCTGTCTGAGGCCAAACACCAAACTGCTCTGTCCCAACAGGCCTCGATGAGTCCGACAGCATCTTCATCATCACAGACGATGAAGTCATTGAGTACGATGGCGAACTTGAGGCGCACACTCTCGTGGAGTTCATCTTTGATGTTCGTGAGGATATAATCTCACTGTTAATCTCATGACATGTTTCAGAATAAAAAGAGGAAAAATCTCTCATGTTAGAGAAACATGAGATGGCGAGGAAAAAGCAGGACTTTTATTGTTTTGAAGATGGCTAAAAACTCTTATTTTGTTCAATTCTGGACAAGATTAATCCAAGACTTCTCTTCCCCTCAGGAAGATTGAAGTGACATTTGGGATTAATAATCTGTATTATAATAGAGGTTTGGTAAAGGGAGAGTAGACGCATTGAAGAGCAGGTGTTGGTGCGACCCATCCATCCATCCATCCATCCATCCATCCATCCATCCATCCATCCA